CCCCCCCCTTCCAGTCCGGACACTTTCCCCCCCCCCTTCCAGTCCGGACACTTTCCCCCCCTTCCAGTCCGGACACTTTCCCCCCCTTCCAGTCCCGGACACTTTTCCCCCCTTCCAGTCCGGACACTTTCCCCCCTTCCAGTCCGGACACTTTCCCCCCCCTTCCAGTCCGGACACTTTCCCCCCCTTCCAGTCCGGACACTTTCCCCCCCTTCCAGTCCGGACAACCCCCCCCCTTCCAGTCCGGACACTCTCCCCCCTTCCAGTCCGGACACTTTCCCCCCCTTCCAGTCCGGACACTTTCCCCCCCTTCCAGTCCGGACACTCCCCTCCCCCCCTTCCAGTCCGGACACACTCCCCCCCTTCCAGTCCGGACACTTTCCCCCCCTTCCAGTCCGGACACTTTCCCCCCTCTTCCAGTCCGGACACTTTCACCCCCTTCCAGTCCGGACACTTTCCCCCCCTTCCAGTCCGGACACTTTTCCCCCCTTCCAGTCCGGACACTTTCCCCCCCTTCCAGTCCGGACACTTTCACCCCCTTCCAGTCCGGACACTTTCCCCCCCTTCCAGTCCGGACACTTTCACCCCCTTCCAGTCCGGACACTTTCACCACCCCCTTCCAGTCCGGACACTTTCCCCCCCCTTCCAGTCCGGACACTTTCACACCCCCTTCCAGTCCGGACACTTTCACCCCCTTCCAGTCCGGACACACTTTCACCCCCTTCCAGTCCGGACACTTTTTCCCCCTTCCAGTCCGGACACTTTCACCCCCTTCCAGTCCGGACACTTTCCCCCCCCTTCCAGTCCGGACACTTTCACCCCCTTCCAGTCCGGACACTTTTTCCCCCCTTCCAGTCCGGACACTTTTTCCCCCTTCCAGTCCGGACACTTTTCCCCCTTCCAGTCCGGACACTTTCACCCCCTTCCAGTCCGGACACTTTTCCCCCCCCTTCCAGTCGGGACACACTTTCCCCCCCTTCCAGTCCGGACACTTTCCCCCCTTCCAGTCCGGACACATTTTCCCCCCTTCCAGTCCGGACACTTTCCCCCCTTCCAGTCCGGACACTTTCCCCCCTTCCAGTTCGGACACTTTCCCCCCCTTCCAGTCCGGACACTTTCCCCCCCTTCCAGTCCGGACACTTTCACCCCCTTCCAGTCCGGACACTTTCCCCCCCCTTCCAGTCCGGACACTTTCCCCCCCCTTCCAGTCCGGACACTTTCCCCCCCTTCCAGTCCGGACACTTTTCACCCCCTTCCAGTCCGGACACTTTCCCCCCTTCCAGTCCGGACACTTTCCCCCCCTTCCAGTCCGGACACTTTCACCCCCTTCCCCCCCCCCCCCCCCCCAGGCCAATTTTCAGCTTTCAGCGCTATCACACTTTGAAAGACAATTGCGCGGTCATGCAACGCTGTACCCAGATGCATTTTTTTTTTTGAGACAGATAAAGCTTTATTTTGGTGATATTTATTCACCGCTGGGAGTTTTTTATTTTTTTTGCTCTAAAATTTAAAAAGTCCAAAAATTAAAAAAAAAAATGTTTTTTCTTATAAAATTTTGCAAATAAATAATTTCATCATAAATCTCGGCCAACATTTATTCCGTTATATTTTTAGTAAAAAAAAAAAACAAACCCAAATTAGTTTATAACCAAAAATTATATTTTTTTTACACTTTTATTTTATTTTTTACATTTATTTATATTTTATTTATTTTTTTTTTTTTTTTTTTTTTACATACTGTCACCCTAGCAGTGTGGGGTCACCATGGTGACACTGTACTACTTCTGGGGGGCGATGAAGATTTTTTTTTTTTTATACCCATAAAGGCTGTAAGAGGAATCATTTCTCATTGAGAACTACTGAGTGAGCTGTGATTGGTCACAGCTTGTCACATGGTACAAGGCTGTTGTGAATGGCCCTGTACCATGTGACCTCTGTGATCATTCACAGATTTCACACGTAGTAAGCAATGATGTCAGAAGTGACATCTTGCTTACTACTATTCATGTGATCACTGATTGGCCAATCAGTGATCACATGATCGGGACCTCGCACAGAGGTCCCATACAACGATCGGTGTTCCACTGATCGACACAGAGGGCACCGGATTGCGATGCCGCGGGCTCACAGGGAGTGCGCGCACTCCAAAATGGCGGGTGCCATTTATGAACAGCAACCCGCTCCTGCACTGCCATTTATATACAGCCACCGGATGGCAAGTGGTTAACAGAACAAGCTGTTCTGCAGATGTAGCAGTTAGAGGGTTGAGACAAACCATTTTCCACTGACAGGGGGGCTTTCAATGATCAGCTTTTATTGATTGGTGGAAAACCTTTATCCCAGAAGGAAGAAAACCGACTGTAATAAAATCTAGAATTTGTTAGTGTATCCAAATCTGCTAGTCCATCTAACACTCCCCTCCCCCCCCAGACTGACAATGCCGGGGTCCGCTGTGCCCCCTGTGCTCCTTCCTGCAGAGTGGGGGCGCTCTAATACAGGAGGGGTGTTACTGGCCGGATCACCAGGTGAGAACAGAGGAGAAAAGACTAAAGAGAGAAAAGGAATGCAGCCGCCACATCTGGTGATCGGGAAGATGGATTGGAGGACATTTCTGGTTTGGGGTTTATTAGCACTTTAATGTCCCCTCCCCCATCAGTGTGTCACAGATATTCCCCCCCCCCTCCCCCCCCACATCCTCATGTTCCATCTTCTGTGCCATTCCCCAGAGCCCATGTCATTATCAGGATCCGGGTGTCATATTTATTACTGTCCCCCCCTGAGCTTCCTGTGTGCAGCAATTATTCCCATCCCCCCATCACTATATATTTTTTTTTTGTTCAATTAGAGATTGTGGGGGTTGGGGGGGGGGTTATTGACATATTCGTTTAGATTAAAGTTTGTGTTATTTGTATTTGTGGGGGATCCTTTTTTTTTTTCGTTTATATTGGATCGCTATTTGTGTTCCATCACTTTTAATTTTTTTAAATTATTGTACGAAAAAATAAAATAATAAAATAAAATATAAATAATCAAACATGAAATAAAATACTAACATAAAATACAAATAATAATAATAATAATAAAAAAACATAAAATAAAACAAAATAAGTTATCAAAAAATAAAATAATTTAAAACAAAATTAAAAAACAATAAAAAATAAAATAATAACATAGAATACTACTACTACTACTAATAATAAATAAAATAAAACAAAATAAGTTATCAAAAATAAGATAAAATGAAATAATTTAAAACAAAATAAAAAAACAATAAAAATTAAATAAAATAATAACGTAAAATACAAATAATATAATAACAATAATAAAAAAAATAAAACAAAATAAGTTATCATAAAATAAAATAAATAAAAATGAATTAATTTAAAACAAAATTTAAAACAATAAAAAAAAAAAAATAATAACATAAAGTACAAATAATAATAATAATAATAATAATAATAATAAAATAAAACGAAATAAGTTATCAAAAAAAAAAAAAAAACGATAAAATAAAATAATTTAAAACAAAAATAAAAAAAAAAAAAAATATTAATAACATAAAATACAAATAATAATAATAATATTAATAAATAATAAAATAAAACAAAATAAGTTATCAAAAATAAAATAAGATAAAATGAAATAATTAAAAAAAAATTAAAAAAAACAATAAAAATAAAATAAAATAATTACATAAAATACAAATAATAAAATATAATATTAATAATAATAAAACAAAATAAGTTATAAAAAAAATAAGATAAAATAATTAAAACAAAATAAAAAAAACAATAAAATAAAATAAAACAATGCAATTAAAGTACAATAAATTAAGTTAAATTAAAATTAAATGCTGAGGATCATGAGGGGCTGGAACTAATTCAGGAGAGGTGAGAGGAACCTGTGTACCCCTCAACAGACATTTAGGGGTGTATTCATTAAAAATAAAAATCTGCATAGCTGTTCATCCATCAAAGCTGCGTGTAAATACATTCTGTGAAAATGGTGCAAAATCGAATGTTCTTTGGCTCTATCCTCTACAACTCGAATGTGTGAATGAGGAAGACACCCCATTGTGGCCAATAGATGGCGCTGACTATAAGAGGAGATTAGTGAGCTCCTCTTTGCCATCTAGTGGCCATAATGCTGTACTTTCCATGTTCAAACTGCGAGGAATATAGCCGGAGAACATTCGATTTCCCCCGTTCAGACCAGGGGCGGACTGACAACTCATGGGGCCCCTGGGCAATAGGGTATCATGGGGCCCCTGTGTCCTTGCCCAAACTCAAAAAAGCCTATGAAAAAAGGTACCAGGGGCATCTCATGGGGCCCCCTACTGACCCCGGGCCCTCGGGCACTGCCCGAGTTTCCAAATGGTCAGTCCGCCCCTGGTTCAGAGAGAACAGATTTATATTGACTTTTGATGCACAAACAGCTCTGCTCGTGTTCCCCCCCCCCCCCCCCCCAAGTCCCTTGTGCGCCCCCAAAACACTCACAACACCTTCATTTCACCCTCACTGATGGTTTTTTACTAAATGGAGACATTTGGTTGAAATCTTCTGATTTTCACTGAAATTTCAGGGCCGAATTTTGCTCCCTCTGTCCTTCCTGCGTGCCGTGAACTTTGGGATTGTTCCCATGGGGGGGGGTGAGCGAATTCTGCCGCCATCAATCCTACATTTATATCTGAAGGTCATTCTGCTGATATTCTGCCTTCCCTGCCCCTCCCCCTGCCCCTCCCCCAAACCAGCACGATAATGACAATGTGAAATAAAACCTTTCTGTTTTTGTCATTTTAGACAGAGTGATGTCATCACTGGTCTATGTGCATCTCTATGCAGTGCAGGCAGAGCATGACTGGTGGGAGGGGCTGTACATAGCATCCTGAAAACATCCCAGCCCCCCGCCTCAGTTCTCCTCTCAGGACCCCTCAGTGCTGATGCCAGCTGTGGGAGGGGTTATGCAAATATCACAGTGCCTTGATGGGCGGGTGTCAGTCTGGAGGAGTGGGCGTTCCTAGGCATGTTGTATACAGTAGACAACGTCCTCATGTGCTGCTGAGCCTTCATGATTGAAAGACCTGAAATCCAATGAATGAAAAGGGCGGGGCCAGGACCATCAGGCTGGGGAGGAAAAGGGGCGGGGACAGGAACAGTCAGGCTGGGGAGGAAAGACTAGATGATGCTGGAGGTTCTCCAGCCAGGAAATGAGGCGGAGCTCTATCTGAGTGGCTGCAGCTTCTAATGCACATTGTGAGAAGCTCCCAGTGTGCAGTGACATCAGAGTAACCAGGGGAGGAGCCGGTATACCTGTGCAAGACTGGAGGGGAGGAGCTTGTATACCTGTGCAAGACTGGAGGGGAGGAGCCGGTACACCTGTGCAAGACTGAAGGGGAGGAGCTGGTACACCTGTGCAAGACTGAAGGGGAGGAGCCGGTACACCTGTGCAAGACTGGAGGGGAGGAGCCGGTACACCTGTGCAAGACTGGAGGGGAGGAGCCGTTACACCTGTGCAAGACTGAAGGGGAGGAGCCGGTACACCTGTGCAAGACTGGAGGGGAGGAGCCGGGACACCTGTGCAAGACTGAAGGGGAGGAGCCGGTACACCTGTGCAACACTGGAGGGGAGGAGCCGGGACACCTGTGCAAGACTGAAGGGGAGGAGCCGGTACACCTGTGCAAGACTGAAGGGGAGGAGCCGGTACACCTGCGCAAGACTGGAGGGGAGGAGCCGGTACACCTGTGCAAGACTGGAGGGGAGGAGCCGGTACACCTGCGCAAGACTGGAGGGGAGGAGCCGGTACATCTGCGCAAGACTGAAGGGGAGGAGCCGGTACAATGGTGGACGGCTGAAGGGGAGGAGATTCCGGCAGCGTCTGTTTCCTCCTGCTGGGTACTCTGCATTCAGTCCATTGCAGGACTTGTGTCTGTTTTCAGTCACCACATAGCTGTGATCTGCGTCCAATCAGATGATCACAAGTCTAGACCAATCAGATCTTTAGATCAGCCACACAGATTTGGGGGTGAAATGCCGGTTGTCAATTGTCGGCGTCCCCCTCATTGCGGGGAATTGATTTCTGTTCTCTGTCGCTCTGATGTAGCGGCGGTCGGTTCGAGACGCGGACGCTCGCCGTAATGTATTCGCAGTCACTGCCGCCATGTCGCGCGTCTCGCAGATGTTAACAATGGGATGATGAGGAACGTCACGTAGGCAGCGCCCCCCCCCCCCAAGGCCGCGGGACCGTAATGAAGATTATCGGACGCCACGGGTGCGATGCGGAGCGAGCGCTCGCCGGACGCCATGTCAGGACATAATTGCCTGGCTGGGATTCTGCGGCGGCAGGAGAGAGGAGCGCGGCGGTATTTTGCATAAATTAATCTAATTAATGACTAATGTGTTGTTAATGGCGTGACGAGTGCGGCCAATAAGAAGCGGATATTTGCAGGCGGTCGGAGTGTGCCGCTGAACGCATTACCGCCATTGTTCTGTAATTTGACGTCTTCAGTCAGCGAGCGCCGAGGGTTGTATTACTATTCATTAGTCGGCTGATTCATCGCCCCCCCCCCCCTCCACGCTCCCCTCCCCCCCCCCACACCCCCACTTCTGTAATTAACGGAAATTTTCCCATTCATCATTTTCAGGCGCAACAACTAATGTTACTCACCAACCAAAACATCGCATTATACGCCGCGCTGAGAAATAAAACGCCGTTCAGACACCGCGCCGAAATCCAAGAACTGAACTGCCGGCCCGGCCTGATCAATAGTGTGGTTCTGCTGGAAGCCTGGACATCCATTGGCTGCTAGGGCTGAGCCAAGCTTCATCCCCCCCATGGGGAAGGTGGGGGGCGCACACACAAAACCCCCAAAAATATGCCTCATATCTCCCCCAGAATCCATACCAGACCCTTCATCTGAACAAGACTGGAGGGGAGGAGCCGGTACACCTGTGCAAGACTGGAGGGGAGGAGCCGGTACACCTGTGCAAGACTGGAGGGGAGGAGCTGGTACACCTGAGCAAGACTGGAGGGGAGGAGCCTAGAACCCTGTGCTGACAAACAACACAGAGCTCTATAGAGAGGGAAGGATCTCTGTGTTTCTGCTCCCTGCAAAGCAAGACATCAGTAGGCTTAACCCCTTCATTACCCGAGATGTTACCCCTTCACCCGAGATGTTACCCCCTTCATTACCCGAGATGTTACCCCCGTCATTACCCGAGATGTTACCCCCTTCATTACCCGAGATGTTACCCCCTTCATTACCCGAGATGTTACCCCCGTCATTACCCGAGATGTTACCCCCTTCATTACCCGAGATGTTACCCCCCATCATTTCCCGAGATGTTACCCCTTCACCCGAGATGTTACCCCCTTCATTACCCGAGATGTTACCCCCGTCATTACCCGAGATGTTACCCCCGTCATTTCCCGAGATGTTACCCCTTCATTACCCGAGATGTTACCCCTTCATTACCCGAGATGTTACCCCTTCATTACCCGAGATGTTACCCCCGTCATTACCCGAAATGTTACCCCTGCATTACCCGAGATGTTACCCCCTTCATTACCCGAGATGTTACCCCCCTTCATTACCCGAGATGTTACCCCTTCATTACCCGAGATGTTACCCCTTCATTACCCGAGATGTTACCCCCGTCATTACCCGAGATGTTACCCCCGTCATTACCCGAGATGTTACCCCCGTCATTACCCGAGATGTTACCCCCTTCATTACCCGAGATGTTACCTCCATCATTTCCCGAGATGTTACCCCCTTCATTACCCGAGATGTTACCCCTTCATTACCCGAGATGTTACCCCCCTTCATTACCCGAGATGTTACCCCTTCATTACCCGAGATGTTACCCCCTTCATTACCCGAGATGTTACCCCTTCATTACCCGAGATGTTACCCCTTCATTACCCGAGATGTTACCCCCTTCATTACCCGAGATGTTACCCCTTCATTACCCGAGATGTTACCCCTTCCTTACCCGAGATGTTACCCCTTCATTACCCGAGATGTTACCCCTTCATTACCCGAGATGTTACCCCTTCCCTGCCGGTGTCATCAGTGCAGTGACAGTGTATGGTATTATCACTGATCACTGTATTGGTGTCACTGGGGATGTCAGTGTCAGTTAGTGTCAGATTGCCCGCCGCTTCCAACCTCAACTCCCTCATCTACCTCTTATCAATCACCCATGCATGACCTGGACTTGGCCCTCCGCCTCAACACCACTACTCTCTGCCCTGCACTCCCTGCCACCACCTCCAGGGGTGTTCAGACCAGAACCACAAGGGAAGCCCCTCTCAGCATTTCACTTTCTGTCCTGATATGAGGTGTTTGGAGGATTCCCTTCATGGCTTGTCAGGTGACAACTTGATTCCCTTTATCTGTAGCAAAGCCTACAAACCAGTATACTGTCCTTCAGGCTTTACGGGGCCGACTATGGTCAGTGGGAGGAATAGTGCCCCATCATTGGTGTCAGTGGGAGGAATAGTGCCCCATCATTGGTGTCAGTGGAGGGAATAGTGCCCCATCATTGGTGTCAGTGGGAGGAATAGTGCCCCATCATTGGTGTCAGTGGGAGGAATAGTGACCCATCATTGGTGTCAGTGGGAGGAATAGTGTCCCATCATTGGTGTCAGTGGGAGGAATAGTGCCCCATCATTGGTGTCAGTGGGAGGAATAGTGCCCCATCATTGGTGTCAGTGGGAGGAATAGTGCCCCATCATTGGTGTCAGTGGGAGGAATAGTGCCCCATCATTGGTGTCAGTGGGAGGAATAGTGCCCCATCATTGGTGTCAGTGGGAGGAATAGTGCCCCATCATTGGTGTCAGTGGGAGGAATAGTGCCCCATCATTGGTGTCAGTGGGGGGAATAGTGCCCCATCATTGGTGTCAGTGGGAGGAATAGTGCCCCATCATTGGTGTCAGTGGGAGGAATAGTGTCCCATCATTGGTGTCAGTGGGAGGAATAGTGCCCCATCATTGGTGTCAGTGGGAGGAATAGTGTCCCATCATTGGTGTCAGTGGGAGGAATAGTGCCCCATCATTGGTGTCAGTGGGAGGAATAGTGCCCCATCATTGGTGTCAGTGGGAGGAATAGTGCCCCATCATTGGTGTCAGTGGGAGGAATAGTGCCCCATCATTGGTGTCAGTGGGAGGAATAGTGTTCCATCATTGGTGTCAGTGGGAGGAATAGTGCCCCATCATTGGTGTCAGTGGGAGGAATAGTGCCCCATCATTGTATCAGTGGATAGAATGGTGTCCCATAGGCTGGATAAAGGCAAGTAAAGGGCCACGATTGGCCCACGAGCTGCAGTTCGGAGACCACTGATCTACAGCCACCAGCCTACAGGGTCCTGTCAGAGGTTCATTAGTAGCAAGGTGTTAAGTCCTCATACGTCTGATTCTGAATGGTGCACATTGGTCCCTACTGAAGGCTGAATTCTGAGCAGATATCTGGTCCCATCATCCCACGTTCCATATCTGACATTCCATCACCCCACGTTCCATCACCCCACGTTCCATATCTGACGTTCCATCATCCCACGTTCCATATCTGACGTTCCATATCTGACGTTCCATCATCCCACGTTCCATATCTGACGTTCCATCATCCCACGTTCCATATCTGACGTTCCATATCTGACGTTCCATCACCCCACGTTCCATATCTGACGTTCCATCATCCCACGTTCCATATCTGACGTTCCATCATCCCACGTTCCATATCTGACGTTCCATATCTGACGTTCCATCATCCCACGTTCCATATCTGATGTTCCATATCTGACATTCCATCACCCCACGTTCCATATCTGACGTTCCATCACCCCACGTTCCATATCTGACGTTCCATCACCCCACGTTCCATATCTGACGTTCCATCATCCCACGTTCCATATCTGACGTTCCATCAACCCACGTTCCATATCTGACGTTCCATCACCCCACGTTCCATATCTGACGTTCCATCATCCCACGTTCCATATCTGACGTTCCATATCTGACGTTCCATCACCCCACGTTCCATCACCCCACTTTTTATATCTGACGTTCCATCACCCCATGTTCCATATCTGACGTTCCATCACCCCACGTTCCATATCTGACGTTCCATCACCCCACGTTCCATATCTGACGTTCCATCACCCCACGTTCCATATCTGACGTTCCATCACCCCACGTTCCATATCTGACGTTCCATCACCCCACGTTCCATATCTGACGTTCCATCATCCCACGTTCCATATCTGACGTTCCATCACCCCACGTTCCATATCTGACGTTCCATCACCCCACGTTCCATATCTGACGTTCCATCATCCCACGTTCCATATCTGACGTTCCATATCTGACGTTCCATCACCCCACGTTCCATCACCCCACTTTTTATATCTGACGTTCCATCACCCCATGTTCCATATCTGACGTTCCATCACCCCACGTTCCATATCTGACGTTCCATCACCCCACGTTCCATATCTGACGTTCCATCACCCCACGTTCCATATCTGACGTTCCATCACCCCACGTTCCATATCTGACGTTCCATCACCCCACGTTCCATATCTGACGTTCCATCATCCCACGTTCCATATCTGACGTTCCATCATCCCACGTTCCATCACCCCACGTTCCATATCTGACGTTCCATCACCCCACGTTCCATATCTGACGTTCCATCACCCCACGTTCCATATCTGACGTTCCATCACCCCACGTTCCATATCTGACGTTCCATCACCCCACGTTCCATATCTGACGTTCCATCATCCCACGTTCCATCACCCCACGTTCCATATCTGAT